TTTTTTTGCTAATTGAAGAAGAATGAGAAAGGAAGGAAGAAATTGTGTCTGAGATAACCATTATATTTCCTCTTTAACATCCTGGAAGCTTGTCAGGTTTCTGAACAAGAAGAGAACAGAGTACTTGAAATAAAGAGGTGGTAGCCTTGGCAAAGTAGAACAAGTATGGCTATAATAAATTTCTCTCAAATAATGGCAAAGTGTCACTCAGCTGTTAGCTTGAAGGTAAAGAGTTCGGTGGGAGCACTCACAGGTGTCTGCTCCTATGAATAGTAAACATTGACTGAAAAGTGAGACTATGGAAATGTGCTAATGTATATGAGCTGTAAAACATGTTTAAAAATCAAGAAAATTTCCTGGCAATGTTCCAGTCCAGTAGTTCTTAGCAGGAGGATATCAGTATTTTGATATTAAGAACAGCTAAATTACCAAAGTTGTATGTCTCATTTCTGAAAAAGTTAAAAAAAAGAAAAACTGTAATATGTTTAAGTAGCTCTCTAAAGTAACTTTATTCTTACTTATTTTCATCCTGTTCTTTGTTGAGCACAGAGGAGAGGGACAAGGGTACGGGTGATTATAACCAGGACTCGTACAGGACCCTGGGAAAACTGAGGGAGTATGTCTAAGCATGCCTACCTCCAGGTTCCCAGTTTATGGAAGCCAAACGTCAGTATTCAACTTAGAAAATCTGAATCATCTCACATCATTGCTCAGGGCTTATGATCCACTGTATAGTAGGTGATGGAGTGAATGATTCTTAATTCTATTTTGTGTCTACGATTTGGGATCTTTAATAAATTTCAATTGCCTCCTATTTTAGTGCAGTATACTGTGTCCTTTATCACTTACGAATTTTTTGACTTCTTGTGAATCATGTTTTCCTGCTGCCACTGTGCTTTTAAGGCTTCATTCATCAAAGTGGAAAGGTTTTTATTCTGAAAATTCTTAACCCAGTGGTCATCTGTTTTGTGTGAAGCATAGACCATTGCTGCTAGACAAGTAGCCAAGTAAATAAATGCTTTTAGTCCAATCTTTTTTTTTTTTTTTTTTTGAGAAAGCAGAATTTATTGAGAGGACAGAAAAGCTCCCACAGTGGGAAGGGACTCAAGGGGGTTGTGCTAGTCCAATTCTTATCACAACTGACATTATAGTAATTTCAAAATAATATGAACTATGGTAAACATAAAAGAAAAAAGAAGCATGCATTTGAAGGTAATTTTATCATCTAGAGAAAACATTTTTGACATATTACTTCAAGATATACATGCATTGGTATATATGTAAGTATATATACATTTATAGATATATTCATGTTACATACTTATTATACATAATTATATAATACTTATTAAAATTGGATTATACTATACATTATCCTTTCAGTTTGCTTTTTACATAAATGTATAAAATATGTATCTCCATGTGAATGAATGTATACTTACATAATCAGTTTTGTCAGCTGCCTAGTGTTTTATTGTATGAATCAATCAAGAATATTTCCTAAGCCAATCTCTTATTTTGGACATCAAGTTTGTTTGTAATTTTTAGTAATTACAAAAATGCTGCAGTGAACATTTCTGTACATGCATTTTTGTACACATCTATTTTTTCTATAAAGATAAATTTATTTACCTTTATTATATTAGTGGTATGTGAATTATATGTACTTTACTAAATAGTCCTCTAGACATATTGTACGTATATGCTTCCACACCGATATTGCTAAATGACTACAGTGCTTGAAATAAAACAATAGTACCATATAAACAATTGAAATAACTTCAGTCTATTTGGACAGCTGTTGTCTATTTTTTCTTCATTGTTTTAACATTATTGATATTGATTTAGAATAAGTATTTTTTCTTGGGTATGTTTCTCTATGCTCTTAGTTAACAATTTTATACAAAAAAGTGTCAAAAAGTGAGAGTGCACATTTTTCTCATATAAATTTCACTTTTAAATAGTACCAATGTTAATAGTACCAATAGTCCAATAGTTAATAGTACCAATAGTTAATAGTACCAATAGTCCAATGTTAATGTAATGTGAATATTGTTATATAAATTGTTATATAAATGTTTGTATACATATATTTATAATATCTTAAATTTTATTTAACATAAAACACGTTCCTACTCAAAAGTTAAATATTGATAAAATATTCATTAAATAACTATTATTATGAATAAATAGCAAAATATTTATAATTTTTAAAAAAATATAGGGCATTCACTGAAATGTGATTATGTAAGTTGCTCCAATTCTTTGAGTTTTTCATTTTATGAATATAATTGATCATATTAAAAATGTAAATATTCTGATAACAAAATAGAACCAACATTCAGGGCTTGACCTTACTAACAATTGCCAAAGCATCATATTATGATCACTGGTCTAGAATTCATTTTAATTGTTCTTCTTGAAAAATTGCTCCTGAATTTTTTTTAATGAAAAATTATCCACTGAGTCTTTGTCATACAATGATGCTTTTCTAAGAATATTCTGATATATCAAAGTTCTTTATCTCATAAGAAAAGCACAAAAGTGCCTTCAAATAAACTCAAGTTGTTGGAGGAGACTATTAAGAAAATCCATACCATAGATAAAAAATAATTTGCTTTTAGGAAGATTATAACTTTAGCAGGGACAGAAGAAAACTACTTGGTATTGGACCACTGGTTTCTATCTTTCTCTGTGTATATTCTCTATTCCCATCCCTGCAGATCAAATATTATTGTACAAGTATACTTTTGTTCTCCTATTTCCTCATTTTGGGCTTAACTTTAGGTTTTTTGGTTTGTTTGTTTTTTTACGTCCACACCATGGTAGCGGTTTATACACTTTCAATACAACTGTTAAATATGGCTTAGGGTCGTTATGTGTGTGTTTTTTTCAAATTAGTAGAAGAAAGAACAATTAAATACGCGCTGGCTTGAGTTGATTATAGCCAAGGTAGAAAGGACAAGGTAGGATCGCGTGATATATCCATATTCAGTTATACCTATCTTTTCAGCAGCAGTTAGGGAAAAAGTGTATCTTCCAGAGCAAACCTTTCAAATCCCATTTTCTACACTTTGTTTATTGAGTACAGAAACTGTCTCTCAATGAGAGCATGTAAATAATTGTGGCTACAATAGAACTAAAAGTAAGCAACATAAGCAAAAATGTTTTAACAGTAAATGCTAAAAATTAGCTGATAAAATTATGGTCTTCATCAAAATTTCACAGTATAAAAATAAAGATGAAATTACCCAAGCCCAAATAGTTGAATTTAATTAGAAACTTTTATATGGGATTGTAGGAATATAAACTCTTTGACAATTTTCAAGCTTGATCTGTAAGTCTTTCCCCTGATAACCATCATTTATTAATTTTCTATTTTTTATTGTTAACTAAAGTTTTATAAATTTATTCCTCTCAAAAAAGAAGTTACAAAATCAAAAGCCTCAAACTATAAAAAATAATCAAAATATAATGTCTAGTGAGAAAATGAAGCATCAGTAATAAAGAAGCATTGCAAAAAAAATTTTAAATTCCAAATTATTCTCACTTGGCCAGTATTCTCTAATTATTCTTGGAAATGAAATAATAAGGCCCATAATAACATCAACAATAATAATAATGATCAGAAGAAAAATATGACTCTGGTACAGTCCTTTAACATATATCAAAATTGTGAGCAAAATGGTAAAAACTTTTGATCAGAGAGAAATCATGCATATGACCATATCGAACATCTTAACTTTCTTTTATATCCTAATTTTGGTAGCTACACAAAGAGCTTGACTCCTCTCTCCAGGTCAATATCCATGTAACTGTTAAGTTTAGTAGTTTTATCCCCATATTGCTACTTGTATCCACATTCATTGGCATAACTTTATACAAGTCCTCTTAGTTCTCACTTGGATTGTCTAGTTCCCTCTGCTATCTTTCTTGATTCAACATTTTCGTGATTCATTGCCCTGAAAGAGAGGTCTGACCTGGTTCATAGATAGATTTTCATTGTAAACTGTTTTTATACTTGGCTTTTGATGTTTCCTAAATTCAAATTGCACTTGTCTATATAATTTTTTTTCATTTAGAAATAAATGCACTAGATTCTAGGAAAACTGAACTATTTGCTGTCCCTTAAATATAATCTAATATTTTTCTTACTGTGCCTTCTCTGATGCTGTTTTGAACCTAAGTTTTAAATTCTTCTAAATCTAGTTGCTATGGGTTGAATTTTGTCTGTTACCAAGACATATTTTAAACAGTATATTTTACATAAATCATTTCTTAATAATAGCATTGGTGTGCAATTCCTTTTTTTAAAATCTATAATATTTAATATTCTGTGTGATTTGCGATATAGTTTTTTGTGTTTATCTCATAGCAATTTTACTTGACTTGCTATTAGTGTGCAAAAACTATGTTATTTTAATTCCAACCCACATTGACTTGATATATAACAAATACTTATTATTAAATAAGCCAATATCATTAATAATTCATTGTGAACAATTCACAAATTTATCTACTTTTTATATTTACCTAATTATATTATCAAATTGGTATTGTGTTTTTTAGATAACTTCTTCTGAAAATTAGTTATTCATTATAAAAATTTAATTTAGAAGGACACTCACAACTTTGGTCAGCGTTGCCTTTAAGTTTGTTTCTTTATCTAAAAATCACTTTTAGGACACATTATTTCTTGTTTCCTTTTTTCAGATTATTTATGAAATAATACAGATTCTTTATTTTATTAAAATAGTAAGTACATGGGCAGAAAAAAAAATCACAGCATATTCATTCATGTGAAGATTGGATACACTTTGCTGATATCTGATGAAAAGTAACATTAATTCCTACTAGTGTGTTAAAATGTATTTCCCCTCACCCCAAATCATTAAGAATTCCAAATAATGTAACTTGTAGACAAAAACCAGTTTTCCTTATATTGAAGGTATCTACACTGTCATAGCAACAAATTCCTTTAAAAATTTCACTTGCATGTTGAACCTTAAATGATTGAGAAACTCATAACAAAAAATTGCTTCAAATTTTTATCTTTTTTTAAATGGCAAAATCTACACATATTTGTTGGAAATTTTTCTTTTTAGACTTTACACTTTCAAACTTACATTTCAATGATAATTTCCTTTTAGTGTTAATGCGTATCATTCTTGATACACATAAAAATCTATACACACAGGTACACTGATGCACAAATATGTAAGTATATATTCAGAGTATTATGTCAAGCACTCATTTTTAAATTAAAAGACTAGCTTGCATATCTAGATATATAGAAGGGTAATTGTTTTAAATAATTACGTGAACATAATCTATACCCAGCTTTTATTTTCTTCTTTGTTTCATGAATGAAGCAATTAAAGAGAATTAGAAAAGATAAAATTACCATGACTAATTTTTGCCATCAGTTATAAAAGACAAACCTAAATTTCCCTAACACATTCCTAAGCACTTTGGAGTCCCTAAACCCTCACTAATCGACTTAGTAGACCTGTACTTGATGTATTTATGACCTTCTTGTACAGCAGAATAAAATCTTTCCAATGCAAAATTACAATGTGTGTTATGTATTAGCCAAAGGGAATTCTTGCCCTCAGTGTGATCCATTATGGTAGGAATTTATTGCCCTGTAAGTTCTATCCATGCTACTAACAGTTGCACAGGGAACTAAAGTTGAGAGTGACAAAAGTTTCATATGACCTGATTATATCTAATTTATGGTTACTTAGCAGAACTAAGTGGGGTTCAGTGCACAGCACATTTGATTCTTTATTTTAAAATATTTTGACCTTTCTGTCCCAGTGCTACCACTCAATGTTGAATTAGAAGCTGAGATGGAATGACTTTATAGGTCTGTTTTGCAATATCTAAAAGCTAAATAACTTTAGAAGAGCATAATTCACCTTACTGTCTTCCAAGGGGTGTGCCAAGGGCTAATAGTACGTGCGTTTATTTTTTACATGTATTTACAATTAAAATATGCAGGACCTCCCTTAAAAAGTTTATTTAAGCAAATACTTTAAAGCTGACAGTAATATTAGAGGTCATCTAATTCAAATTCATTACAGAAAATACCTAAGAGTTAGCCTTTTTAAATTGTCTTTTATCCTAAAGTATGTAGCTATTTCAGTGCTGAGTTTTGCTTTATAGAATAGTCATTCTATTCTATGCTACTTTGAATTAAGAAAAAACTTCTACTTATATGGAAACCATGCTTTATAACACTTTTTAGTCATCATTCTTCTCTCTGGAACTACAATAAGTAAACTCAGATATTTTCATAACAACCATTTTGATGTTTGGCAATTTTTCTTTTTTAGCTTTAAAATCCTCTAACTACACAACACATCTGCAAAGTTTTCAGACTTCACTTCCTATTCATCTATAAAATGGTGCCGGTTGTAATCCACCTATTTTTGCATGTGATATTATTAATAAATGTAATGTTTGTTTTAATGTTCTAGAACCCATTTACAGTGTTGGCAGGTAAAATTAGATTTAACAATCAAAAATTAACAATTATATTTTCCTATTAATGTTTGCTGCTATCTATTACATTTAGGTGATTGATTTGTTTTCTGTTACAAATTGGGAGATTTAAATTTATTATTGCAAACGTTTGCCACTTTCGTAACTCATTATTCTGAATTATTAAGATGATTTGAACTTTGTCTTTTGCCATTAAGTGTATTATATATCCTTCTTAATTTTGTAACATTCCAGAATTTATGCAAAAGTCTTTAATACCTTCATTTATATCCGTACTTAAAAATGAAATGGTATATATATCAAAACACAGAATTCTGTGTCATTAGAGACATCTCCTCATATTTCAGTGAGCCTCAATTTATCCTTTCTGTGTACAATTATTCAGCAGATACAAATCAAATTGTACTGTTTTTTATTAACTATAAAAATATATTATATTAAACAGTGTTTTGCTTCAGTTTATATATAGTTTTTTCTCATTTATAAATGTGGCATGCCATGTTTTAGTAAACTTATCTTAGGTCCCAGCAATAATGGCTATATTTTAAAATTGGTTTAATAACAAATATTTTATGATTTATCTTATATTCTAAAATGATAAATTCATATTTTATAGATTTAATTTCTTTCACTCTTTTGGAAATTTAGCTCTTTATAATTAAAAGAGTTTGCATCCATTATATATTTAATATATGCCCAGTACAGAATAAGTGTATGTGATGTTTGCAAGTCACATTATGCAATATTATCTGCATATTTGTAGATAAATAAACTAAGTACCGGGCAATCTTGCACCTTACCCTGAGTTGTACAGCTAGGTTATAGAATTAAAATTGGCCAAGCAAACTGATTCTGTGTCATCTTTCATAGATACAGTGCTAGTTACTGAAAAGAGGGATATAATGATGACTAAAATAATATTCAAGTTTTATGAAGCTTCTAGTCTAGTGAAGGGAGACAAACTGAAGCACATATATAAAATATATAGTATGACAATTGGTGAATGAGAAATTCAATAAAGAAAAATCAAGAAGAAGAAAGTTGAAAGGAGGGGGAAGGTTGGAGACAAAACTATTTAAGAAGGAGTGGTCAGATTAGAGCATTCTGATAAAATGTTTTATTTAGAGGTAATATCTTATAAGTTTAAGAGATTTAACCGGGCTCGGTGGTTCAGCCTGTAATCCCTCACTTGGGGAGGCTGAGGTGAGTGGATTGCCTGAACTCGCAGGTTCATCTCTACAATAAATCAAAAATTAGCCGCGCGTGGTAGCGCATGCCTGTAGTTCCAGCTACTTGGAAGGCTGAGGCGGAAGGATCACCTGAGCCTGGAAGGCTGAGGTGAAAAGATCACTGGGAGCGGCCATTGCACTCCAGTCTGGGCGACAGAGCGAGACTCCAACTCAAAAAAAAAAAAGAGAGATTTAAACAATCACAAGGGAATATTTTTAAGTGTTAAATACTCTGACTCTAAAGTCAAATAGATATTGATGTGTATCCCAGCTTTACAAGCCTCTTAGCCATGAGACCTGAGAGGTAAGTAAATGCCCCTTTGATGACTTTTCCCCTTCAAAGAATTTATTATAAAATATAATTAGGTAAGTACATATTTATGTGTAGTATGTATTGAATTATTGTTTATAATAAAAAATTGGTAGCATGAAATACTTGTTATAAGCTATTACTTAGATAAATCATGAAATTGGTTTGCAGTGAAGTATTGTTAAATCACATAACATAGCGTTGTAGTAGTATACATCAAAATGCTATCGCAAACATGAGATGGTGTCCATTTGTGCTTGTGTGTTTATGACAGGTACACATTTTGAGAGGGAAAAAATTTGTAAAATAGGAATTTAAGTGTGTAGAATGAGTACGTTTGGGTGGGTTGTGGCTTTTCTAATTTTGATTATCAATAATTTTTATCAGCAATAAACAATATTTTAGCAAAAATATAAATAAGCATAAATGTTATGCAATCTCCTCCAAAGATTTATTAATTAACACTTTTTATAGTTAGAAGTAGATATCACTGCTTCTTTAACTTGTGGGGGGACAAACTTTATTTCATCCCATCAAATTTAAGCACGAGTTTTATGGTTGTATTTGTTAGCTATCCTCTAACGATGAGCTTAATACTAACTATAAGTACATATGTTTAGATACAAAAATTGAATAATGAAATAATTATGATTGTCTTCTCTTATATTGATAATGCAAAAATGATCAATTTCTTCTAGATTACTATAACTTTAAAATGAACAATAATGGAAAATGTTATTGATCAAACAAGTGCTTTGACAATGATGAGAAATTTCAGTTTAGATTCGTATTTTTAAAAGATTCAATTTCTGCATTGCAGCCACCGATGAACATACACTCCATTGTGGTTCAAGTACAATGCATCAACAAAAAAGTGGGTACTGTTATCTACCATGAAGTGCGGATCGTGGTGAGAGACAGGAATGACAACTCACCCACGTTCAAGCATGAAAGCTACTATGCCACAGTAAATGAGGTCAGTTTCCACCTACGCTCTCTGCGTCCTTTTTATTGGTATATGTAACTATTTACTATAAATGTTTGTAAATTATTCCTTTCTAATAATTAGCCTAACTGTTTTAGAAAGACCAAGAAAACATTTTTAGAAATAATACTTAGAAGTAACAATTAATTTCCAATATTATTTCAGGAATTCACTCTGCTAAAAAAAAGTCAATTTATTTATAATAATAACCAAAGAGATTTTTTTTATTTTTCATCATTTGAAATAATTTATTGCTTAAATCCATGTACATTCTTACTGAGGCACAACAGGAGTAATTTTTATTATTATAAGAAACTGGATTAATGTCTTTGTATTCCTGTGGTGGTCATACAAATTAAATGCCGAAAGAAAGTATCTAAGCTTTTATTTATTTAAAGTTATTTCTTCAATTTTAAAAACAAGCTCTGAAATACTCACAAAAGTTGAATATAAATCACAACTGAATTATTTAAGAAAATGCTGATCAAATTGACAAAAAAATTGAAAAGCAATAATACTCATTGTTGTAGAACATGTTTTTTGTTGTTTATTGCTTTGTTTTGTTTTCCCTTTGGACAAAAATCTATTAGCCAATAACATTCTTCCCTCAAAAAACAATAGTTACTCTACTAATGTTTTGTTAGTCCATTAAGCCAAAAATTATTTCTAGAGTACCTCTAATATTACATATTATATGTACTTTAGACAAACCAAAAAAAAGAATTATGTTAATGTGGTAGAACATATTTGAGAATATCATCTTTACCTCCAAGATGAATTTTTTATCTTAAGAAATATGTACCTACTTTATAGTAGAAAATCAGTGTAATTTGAATATATTCAACAGATCATTTGAATATATTCAACAGATCATTGTAATTGTAACCTCTACATTTGAAATTACTAAAAATACATTTTATTTATTCTTCTAGTCATAGCAATTTGAAGAAATTACATTTGACATAATCTGAGACTTCCTACAATGCTTAACCTCTTTGAGTTACTTTTGCTTAACAAGTTTCTACTATAATGATAGATGCTAATTAATTGCCCAGTACTAGTTTTACATGTATATAGATCATCTTATTTTGGCATCTAAAGTGTAGTATTTGAATTAGATTTGTTTGGCTTGGTTGAGTGCTAATTTCATTTCAGTATAAACTAATAGATGAATTACTTTAGGCAAAAAATCTACTTAGAAAATCTGTTTTGTGCCATATTTAACTGCTCCTGGATCTCTGCATATAGTTCATATTTCTTACAGAAATTTATGAAATTCAGTTTGAATTTCAAGGCATCGTATGTGATGTGACTATTTTCACCTTCCAGTCTTTTTGGTGTCTTGTTAAAAAATAACTTTCTCGAATGTCATTTTAATCATGTAACTCCACTGTTTAAAAATTATGTAATTTCTCATTATTGTCAGGTGGGAAAAGGCCACCTCTTCTGGCAGACTTTCAAGGCCTTCCATTATCTGACCATTTGTCAATGTATTCTTAACTTCAAATTATTGCTGATAATGCCTCATTTTATGGAGATTAATTTCCTCATGTCTTATAAATATTTCCATTGCTTGGACTTTGCTCACACTGTTCACTTTACTTAGAATGAGAGCCTTTCCACTTTGCAAATCTCCAAGTTTCATTCACCTTTTAAAGTTTAACTCAAGTTCTATTTTCATGAAGTAGTCCCTGACTATCCACATTTATTGAATTTCAATATCTCCAAACCCTAAACTCCTATAGCATCTGAATAAATAGCAATTAGGCTATTGAATTTTAGAAAAGTTAAATATTTGATCATAAAACGTTGTTTCAAGAGACTAGCTTCTTTTACAAAATTCTCCACATATGGTTGTCCTAAGAAGTTTCTCTCAGCCAAGCTTGGTGGCTCAGCCTGTAATCCCATGCTTTGGGAGGCTAAGGTGAGTGAACTGCCTGAGCCCGTGGATTCGAGACCCACCTGGACAACTTGGCGAGACCTCATCTCTACAATAAATCAAAAAATTAGCCGGGTGTGGTAGCGCGCGCCTGTAGTTCCAGCTACTTCGAAGACTGAGGCGGAAGGATCGCCAGAGCCCATGAGGTCGAGGCTGCAGTGGCTGGGAGCAGCCACTACACAACCAGTCTGGGTGACAGAGTAAGATTCCAACTAAAAACAAACAAACAACACCAAAAACAAAAACCAAAAAAACAACAACAAACAAGAAGTTGATCTCAATACATTTCCCTATAGAAACCTGAAGCAATCCTATTCTACTAACATTATGGTCATATCTTCTGTGGTCTGATAATATAGAATGTGTGTGCCTGATGATTTCACCTTTAATTTTGTCAATATTGTCTCATATCTATTTTCTTGGAAACAAATCAAAGGCATATTTAGCTCAAAACAGCATCACAAGAAAAAATTATAATTTAGCTATTTATTTCATTTTTCAATTTCAGTAGTTCTTCCATGGTGCTAGTTTTTAGTTTAACTGACATAAATTCTCTATGGGAAAATAAATTAAAATTATATATACATGTATGTATATGTGTGTATGTGTACACAAATATATCCTTGTCTCTTCTATCTACCATGCTGTCTGTATAATAAAATTAAATGATATAGGTATTATTCTGTGTGACATTGCAAAATATGTTTATAGTATTTCTTCATTTATTGCAAAACAATTAAGTTTTTGCAATTAAAATTCAAAAGCTCTAAATGTTTTTCAAAAAAATTATCATTCAGGATTTAATAGATTGTTGATGTCAAAATATTTCACACTTTATTAAAATATAAAAGACATATAAACTCAGTGGCTCAGCCTGTAATCCCATGCTTTGGGAGGCTGAGGTGAGTGGATTGCCTGAGTCCGTGGGTTCGAGACCCGCCTGGGCAACTTGGCGAGACCTCGTCTCTACAATAAATCAAAAAATTTGGCTGGGTGTGGTAGCATGCGCCTGTAGTTCCCGCTACTTGGAAGGCTGAGGCAGAAGGATCGCCGTAGTCCAGCAGGTTGAGGCTGTGGTGGCCGGGATCTTGCCACTGCACTCCAATCTGGGCGATGGAGTGAGAATTCAACTTAAAAAAAAAAAAAAAAAAGGACATATAAAGTCATTATCACAGATTTATAAAACAAGCTTCCAGACTTAAAGTTCTGATTAGTCACTTTTTTATTCACTATGAGAAAACAGGGACCTGGAGCAATAGTATAAATTGATGATTATAGAATAAATTTTCCCCAAAGTTGATAATAAATCCCAAATCCTTAAATCAATCATCCTTTTACTACTATTAATAGAAATCCTAGTATTCTAAATTATAACTACTTTCAAATACCCAATTTTAGAAATAAATATTAAGGTTTATGTTCATGGTATTATGTCATAATAGTATAGTCATAATCATCGCTTTTAAAAATGCATTAAATGCTACCCTCTTATATTTCTATAAACACCTTCTTGTAGTAATTTGTCAAGAATTCACCAAAACATTATTAACGCCTGTATCTAAATATTGAGCAAGGATTATAACAATGTTTATAATTTTTTTGTGAACAAAAAATGGCGTTGCAAGTATTTTTATGTCTTTGGGTAATTGGAGATTCAGTTAATTTTGAACAACCATATCATTAAGTAGTCTGATTGGTTTCAAGAACAAATTGCAAGGTTCAACTGTTGCTGATCATTCCTAAGCAATTTCTGGAAGATAAATCTTTCCTGACAGTGATGTCAGATTTTTGGATTGGATTACATTCCTTAAAATTTCTTTTGATATAAATAAAGGAAAGTTGAGGAAGACATACTGTTTCCATGGGCCTGTGAATAATTTTTCTTGAGTTAATATAGGAGTTATATATGTCTTGGTTTTAAAGGACTCCTTTGCAGAAGCAAAATTTTTCAAATAACATTAATTTGTTAATTTTATCACCTAGAGACAAGCACAATGGAAATGTAAAGATCTCTAATAGTGTGTAGTAGCTATAGTATATTAAAGTAAATCAAAATGTAACAATTATGGAGATATTTTTGGATCATGAACATTGTGCTAAACTCTTTCTTGTTAACACTACACTTAGTTTTCACGTAGACTTACAAGGAAGTAACATTTCTGTTTTAGAGATGAGAAAATTGAGACTTGAGAGGTCACATAATTTTCCAATTTTATCCAGTTGATGATAAAATTAAGATTTTTTAACCCAGTTCTGTCAAAAGTCAGAAAATGTAGTTATAATCACCATATATAGACTCGCAGCTGAAGTATGAACTATATATCTAAAAGGAAGTTCTTAGAGTAAACTTTATATAGTGCTGTGACCACAAATAGGATCTTTTGATCAATATGTAATTTAATAGACTATTTTTGTACCACCTACTTTACATGAGTATGATCTACAGCAGATATATCATAATCAACATCAACCATTGAGGATAATGTAATCTATTCATTATTGTAAATTTCAATATTATTCATGAAATGTACTGTTTTGTTTTATATGCTTCAGCTCTGCTATGCTTATATTTTGGACAATTACATTGCTTGGCAGTAGATCTTTAAGCAATGCTTTCTTTCAGAATTCAAGTTTTGAGTTATTTTAAATTCATAACTTACAGGTTAGATAAACTTTATATGTTCTTTGATTTTGCTTTGAAAATGTGCTTACAGCAATAGCGTCTATAATTCTTTATAGATTAAAAGCAGTATACAATTTGATTGTATTACATAAGTTATACTTTTTGAAATGGTATTTTCTCATCCTCATTTCAAATTGAGACTAATTAAAATTAGTCTCAATTTGATTTGTATAATTATTCATTTTGTGCAGTTTCTAAAAATGAAAAGCTTATATGTAGACTATTTTTTTCTAGAACATAAGCTATTCTTGATATCTTACTAGTCCATAATGTTGTTTAGATTAAGTGTGCCATATTTTTCTGTAGTTTCACTTTTTACTTTGTTAGATTCTTTACTTAGGTTGAAATATCAATAACAAAATATCCAGT